ATGAAGTATTGACATGGCTGCTGTGACGTCATCTAAAAACCGGCAAATATTTTTTGTTTATTCAGGAATGAGCGGAATGAGGATTTGTTAAGAAACTTTGACAGCGTCCCAGTCAAAATAAACCGACGAAAGAAGTCTTTGCCTTTTGTAAGTATAGCACAAATTTGTACTGAATCGTCAACTGAAGAGAACATCCTTTGAATGACCATTGTTTTTTATTAACACCATTTAATAAATTGTTCCTAATAGTACAAAGASTAAAACGGAATATCTATACTTCGATACAATTTAGTATTATGTGATTGATTAAGTTGTTCACGTTTTTAGCGTTTGTACTTTATTTGTCCTTTTACAGTGGTTTTGATGAACCTGTAAAACACACTTAAGAGCCACTTCGCGCAAAAATCAGACATATCTTGGCAAGGCTCGAAAAATCAAAGCTATTCATATTTTGTATAATGATAAGGTATGATTAGGTAACAATCGCTGTGTGATTGGTTTTTGAAAATATTTCATTTTTCGCAAGAAAATCGCCAAACAATGTCACATACTGGGCCTTTGCGTGGCAAATGTTTGATGGCTAAAAATAGCACTCGAAATAGCCAAACTTTCTACCGAGCTTGTGTGAAATGTAAAATAATAATTTCTTTGAACATTTTAGGCAATGTAAATGAATTTCGGTTGTTTAAAATATTTGGTGTTTCAACGGATTATTATCGCCAGAAGTATTCATTTCTATGCAACTGAGAGTGATTTGCCCAGACTAATTTTTATGTATTTGAAAAGCTCATCTCTTGTTTAGTAACCACGCCGAATTTTATTGCAAACAAAATACTTGCACGTTTAAAAAAAATGATCGTTTTGTAAAGGTACTAATTTGCATATAAAAATACATATGCGAATATTTCGAGTTCCAAAAAAWTTTCCTTTTAATTAAATAGTCTAAAAATCACTGAAATAAATATCAAAATTTAAATTTTTAAAATAGCTATTTTAGTTTTTACATGAACTCAGTATAAAGTTTGGCTATTTTGAGAGCTATTTTTAGCAATCAWGCATCTKTCACGCAAAGGTCCAGTATGTGACATTAATTAGCGATTTTCTTGCGACATGAAAAAAATGAAATATTTTCAAAAACCAATTACACAGCGATTGTTACCTAATCATACCTTATCAATATACAAAATATGAATAGATTTGATTTTTGAGCCTTGCCAAAAAATTTCAGTTTTGTCTGGTTTTTGCGCGAWGCGGCTCTTAAAAACACTTTATTAGTCTTTTTTTGCACGTTTTTATTTGTGTAATGACACCTTATCATATAATTATCTTATAATATTATATTTCTCAAWTGCATAAAGTTGTTATTTTCACTACTGATTAGAGGTAAAAAAGTTATTTTCAAAAATACTTTTGCTTTCATATTTAATTACTCTGTTGATAAACAGAATATAGCCATTTATATACATTGCATTTTAAAATCTTGATGCAAAAATAAGCTATTTTGATGTAGTRCCCAGTCCCCTGCTCGTTTAGAACATSGATAATAAACTGAAGAATGCTAAAGGAATACGGCGTTTATTACGGTGTATTAGACGTTTACCTTAGTTTATGTAAACATGCCRTAACGAAGAARAAAGCGTTCGAAAGTAAAACTGTCTGTGTGCTGAACCATGTAAATTTTRATGTATTGTCTCGATATATGACAGCATCTTTTAATTCTCATTTCCGTTTAGCACCATCAACGAATGGCTACAAAAAGAACTTTTCCTGCTCAACTCAACATGGCACAAAGAGCAAATCTTAACGACGAAGAGCTGGTAAGACATTAAATAAATCAGTTTAGCGATGTCTTTTACACACGGTGTTAACCTCAAAACAAAGTAATATATTCTTGATTTCTGTACCAGGCCGTTGAAATACAAAATATCTGTGGGTATAGCACAGCTAGCGCAGACTCATTAGTTGATAGCATAAATATACAATGTACGCATTGTCATAGACACTGGTAATCTCTGGAGAGATTCCCAACTCTCCCTTTCTATAATGAAAACCCGTCAAGGGATAACTTACTACTGTAGAAATGGTGATTTCATCGAGCGATTTCCTTGTGTCATGAGCTCCAATTGAAGCTAACACAGTGTAAATGAAATCGCGAAACTAAACTATTGTTAAATATATATGTATGTCCTTCAGTAGTTGGAGAGAATAAATTGAAATGCGAATTTCGTTTCCAGTAGTAGGCTGCATTCGCATTTCAATTTAAACTATTGTTGAAGTATAAAAGTTTCAAAACACTATAGTTTATACTATGAAATGTTGTTTTGACTGTCAAGCGAACCTGAAAATGTGAACAAGAAATTTGATACACTCAATGATAATTTGCGACGAATTTCTTGATAAGTAGAATAAAGATAAGCCCATCAAACTATTTCGTTTTTTTTAATATAGAAACAACACGTCTATAAAAAAGCACTTCAGGCGCTGATTTATCCCATCTCAGGTAATCTAATGTTTGCTTGGATGATGTAGGAATCATATCATATTATTTATTATCCAATTATTAATCCTATGTAGGTACSTATCCAATTATTTTCTTAATACTCCATTTTCGAATTCAAAGCGAATAACCGCTGTTTTATTTGATAGCAGATTCTCTTATGGAAATRCATTACCAAACACTGAAGAAAGCACGAGAAATGCTGTAAGTACAATTTACATTTTTCCTGAGTTGTTGTTGTATTCCCAACAGGGTTATTCTCAACTCGGGAAAAATGCAAATTTTCAAGGCTATTGTAATAACGACATTTTGCCGTGCTTTCTTTTATTTTCGGCAGAGTTAGTAGTTCCCTTCTACTAACTCTGGTTTTCGGTAAGTGTTTTGCGTAAGAGAATCTGYCCAATAAAGCAGCGGTTTTGCGCTTTGAATTCGACTATTTGACAGTTATTAGGAAACCGAAACTGAAATCCATCATTTTTTACTTTCGAAAAGCTGTTGTTTTCACATTTTTGCCATCTCTATATTGTAGGTAATAAAACTGTTATGATAATTTGCATTCATAGATAAAAACGCAAAATTAACACTTATTTGCTGGACCGAGGGAAACAGTGTGTGTTGTGTTTCCGAGACCGCTGATGTTTAACAAAGCGAAACGATAGAGGAAAACACTAAACATGCTGATTTCCCGAGGTAGATATATAACCATACACCTACTTGCGAAAACCTTGTCATAGAAAATAGGACATTTGTATTCAGTAAAAAGGAATAAATTAAAAAAAAGACAAAAGAAGATCACCGAGGCTGAACGCTCTCTTTTGTCTTGTTTTAATTTATTCCTTTTTGCTAAATTCAAATATTCTATTTTCTATGACAACTTTTCTGCAAGTAGGTGTATAACTATATAACCATAACAATTGTCATAGAATGCAAAGCAAGTAGTGGTATAAAGTGTCTTTATTAAAGTTTTAAAAAAGTCATGAAAATGACTCAAAAATGACAACAATATTTATTTAAGGAATAAAAGAGGAAATTCCGTGTTTGATACTCTGATCAAAACACGCGGGATGTAGGGAGAGCACGAGAGAAGCGTAGGAAACCACGACGCGTAGCGGAGTGGTTTCCAGCTTTTCGAGTGCTCTTCCTACATCCCAAGTGTTTTGATCAGAGTATCAAACACGAAATTTCGTCTTTTATTTCTTTTCTAAAATTAAAAGAAAAAAAGAAATTTTTGACGTACGCGAGCGTGTTTTGATACTGTAATCAAACATGGTTTTCGACCAATCACAGCGCGCGTAGTATCCTAAATATTTTAGAAAATACTTTATCTCACTATAAGTCATTTATTGTTATTTAGAAAACTCCTGATAAGAAACTGTAAAATAATATAAAAATAATATATCCTTGAACTGATAAATAGTGACAAATAAGATATTTTTAGGCCAGGGCCATTTTTGTAATCAATCTTATCTATGTATCATAGGGGACGTACTTGCCGACAGCTTTTTTATTTTCTTACGGCAATTCTTGGTGTGCAACAACATGACCAGGAATCCCCTGAGAAATTAGCTGTCGCCGCCATGTTGGATGATTGAATAAGAGAAACTAATGAGGAATACTTTGTGATCTTTATCCAATATGGCGGTGTTGACGTAACTTGCACGCCAAGAATATTCTTACTTCGGGACATTGGAGGGAATGGKCATGAGTACAGTACTTCGAACTACAATAAACTACGACTTTAGTGAAGTTGTTCTGGTTGATCCTCCTTGTTTTGTGGCTTCGATATATAATAACCACATATTATTAACTATATTTTTTGTGAGGTCACAAAATTGATCAACTAGTAAGAAAGAGTTCATTCTAATAATATGCTCTAGTCTACAGTACGATTAAAGTGCTATATAGTCAGTCCTTTGTTTTATGATAGTTATAATATCTTGTTTACATGAAATTTCTAGTCAAAACTAAAGCGATGGTGGTACATGGAACAGTCTAATATTCTAATGTAAACATATCAAAAACTATAAGGTCATTACCCTGTCTCCAGTGGCTTGGCTTCTATTAATTTTGCTTGAAGCAGTCAACGCGGAAATTTCTATCCAATTGTGGCTKGAGAACAAACAAGGAATATAAGCAAAAAGTCTCTGGAACTGCGGTATAAGGTCACAAGAAATTCATGAACATTCACAATCAAAACGGGGGAGGGGGAATTGAGGGGGGAATTATTGCACCTAAATCCTGCAAATAACTCAATAACGCTACTTAGTCCAATCGATAATTTTTTTGCCATCAAACCTTTGTTAATCACATTTTCGCATGGAAAAGGAAGAGCAAAGAAAGCAAATTAACCGAGGCAACAACAGCCTGATTTGAAGAAATTCAGACATAATGTAACTTTTCAAGTTTATATAAATGTCGGGTTCCATTTAGAGAAAATAGGAAAGAGAGGATGAGAGATGATAAACAAGACACTGGCCTAGTTACACATTGTGAATTTCCGAACTTCGGGCTCGTTTTACAGTTTCGATCACTTGATGCGTGAGGTTGGGGTTAATCGGTTCATTCACTCTACTGTTATCATCATTGCTCGTAGATACAACTCCACACAACTTCGAGCGATGGTCGACCCAAGTGCCTGCCTATTGTTATGAGTGCGAGGGACTGCTGTGGGGCCTGGCCTGGCAAGGACTTAAGTGCAAAGGTAMAATTTGAGCTTTTTCTGCTCGTCTTGAAAATGAATCATTCAATCTTAKKCGATGTTGATTCACTTTTAGAGTGCGGTGTTAAATGTCACGAGCGTTGTCAAGATTTGCTGAACGCGGATTGTTTACAACGTAAGTTATTGTGGAATCATTTATATTTGAACGTTTAATAGCTATCCCCTTGGAAAGCGAAAATAAGTAAAACAAGGGCGTATTAAGTATTGGGAGTTTCTTACATACAAAATTCTATAGCTCAATTATTTTAATGAAAATAAAACCAGTCATTCAGAAGCTACAGAAACTTATTTAATTAACTAATATGTTAAGCCTAAGTAAATCTTCACAAACTGTAAGATTTCTACTTTTTTGAATTTTAGACTTATTAAAAAATTAAGTAGGGTTAACGGGAACCCTTTCACTCCCTGCTTTAAAAGCACGCCGGGAAATCATAGAGTCATTGGGTTTTCATTGGGTTCCCTCGTGTACGCACGTTGTCCTTCTAGTCCTTCTTTATGAATCTCTTCAGTAAAGTACGTGAAATATTATTATTATTAAACCGCGAATGGCTACCCATAATATTGGCGTTGTTTTGTAAGGAAATGTCCTCAATCATGTAATAATTCAAACAAATCGAATGTGAATATCAGCTCCAGGTGTTTGGCTTATGCCTCCGTTTTGTTTATCTGAGTCGCGCGTGCTATGGCGTTGCAGYACSGTCCAGACCCAATCCGTTGGACTTGAAAGTTGTGGATACAGTGCCGAGGACTGTCCCTACGTGTCTTGCCAGGCATGATGCTTGTTTTGTATTCTCCAATAAGGCTGCCTTAGTAGGGGTAATTGATTCCAGACAACTCCCTTTCCTTGCAAAGCTGTGCTATGAGGCAAACTGAAAAAACAGTAAACCGATAGAAACTGTTTAGGAAGAGCGATTAGCTATCACCAATTTATTCTTATTTATTAATTTATTAAATAAATAAAATTAGCAACAGTTGCAGCCCCGTTCTGTTGGTATGCTGCTTGATATTTTTCAATTGTTCATAATTGGTTGGAGATGAGCAAGGTGTGGGTATCTGTACAGTAAGTTATAGTTTTCTGTTTTTAAGGTGCCGCTGAAAAGTCGGTGAAACATGGTACAAAAGACAAGACTGATACAATTATCATAGCAATGCAAAGACGAATGGAAGACAGAGAACGACTTAAACCTGAGATATTTGAACTGATAAGGTAAACTTAAATAGTTCTTAATGCATTGTTGGCTTCTTCAGTGTTTTGGTCATACAGCTATTGTCATGGTTTGTATTGCTATTTTGTTATATTAGGGAAGTTTTTCATGTCGACCCAAAGAGTCACGCAGGATTTCTAAAAGCAGTAAAAAAGCARATATCCACAGGAACATCAAAATGGCTAGCAAAGATTGCTATCACAGGTGAATATTTATAAATACTTTATGGGTGTTAGCTCACTGTCTTGTTGCTATATGCCATATAGCGGCTATAAACCTATTTAGTGACATTGTTCATCAAAATTTCTGCGATGTTGTGTCTCAACTGTGTGAATTGCTGTTTTAGTTGCCAGCGCTCAAGGACTTATAGCCAAGGATAAAACAGGTAATACATCAACAATATCCAGATGTGAAGAAACCCTCGAATATACATCATTTTGCTCAATCAACTCGAAAGTTTAGGTTAAGATTTTATTGAAACTTCGTCAGTATATCAGTTATGTTATTAAGAAATTATTCTGAAAATTTTATTACAATCTCTGCGGTGAGTTTCGAGAAAATTAATTTTGAAGAAAAATGAAGGTGTTTTTATTTTGCATTGTTTATCCAAATGGCTTCGCTTTTTGGCAAATTAATTTATCAAAAAGAATTATCGATAATCACTGTTACTTCTGTGAAAGTTTGAGTGCAATTGAATCGAAATTTGCGACGTAGTTAGAGTTTAAAAATACACGTGAAACGCTATTTACTACGATCGAAACGCCTTAAAATGCCTTAAACCTTGACTGAATTTATGCGGATAATTGCAGGCACAAGTGATCCATATGTTACAGTTCAAGTAGGAAAAACAAAGAAACGAACAAGTACAATTCCACGTGAACTCAATCCGGAATGGAATGAAACGTTCTACTTGTAAGTAATTTTTTGTCACGGTAAACTTGAATACTGAACCCTCCAAATAAGATACTTTGAAACATAATTTGAATATACTAATGACTGTCACAATTTTTTCCCATTTTTAGCGAATGTCATAACTCAACTGATCGTATTAARATTCGTGTCTGGTAAGTACATCTCGTAAAGCAAGTTGAGAGAGGAGAAGTCTTTTATGTGACAATAAGAAAGATAAAACACGGATGATCACCATTAAAAACTCAATTTTGTATGTTTAATAGCATCTCATGTTATGACCACTACATTGACCATTACAAATGTTATATACTATTTTTAATTAGCTTCAAGGTTTTTAGCAATTCTAGTATTTTCTACGCTTATATGAGAGTGAAAATTATATGAAGGCTAAAAGTTTTAAAGTTTTAAATATGGTTGTCAAACGTTTTCGAACTTAACAGTTCCTCTTCAGGACTAAACTAACAAAATTAACGTGAGTACAGAGTTATAACAGAGTTATGTGATCGCAGGGGGGAAAAGCTTTAGGTGTAAAGCTTCAGTTTGTTTGTTTAGTGTGGGTTTGAAGCGGCTGATTAGTAAGGCTTCAACAGTTCTGCGTTTTTGCCAATTAATGGCTCTACCAATAACACACCATGAGAACGAGTGATTTGTGTTTACCATCAGATGTGTAGCTGGTTCTGATGGGTTTTTACTTGTAACATCTTCGTGTTCATTGTTCATTCTTGCGGCTCTCTAGGTTACGCGCTGTTTCACCAATGTACGATTGCTCACAGGAGTCGCATTCGCCTTTATAGATGACKTGTGAGGGATGATTGTTTTTATCCTTGGTGGTAAATAAAGATTGTATCTTCTTTGTGTTCCATATGACAACAAATTTGAACTGATCGTTGGAGTATCGAGTTAGTTTCTTAATGAAAACCTTGCTTTCTGTTTCATTTTGCTTACAATAGCGTAGACGAATGAAAATTGACTTTCGAGGCTCGTCGAACCAGTGTGATGGAATAATAGTAGACTCGTCGGTACGTGGATCTTYAAAGTTTGAGATGGTGTGTTCAATGAACTTAGAAGGATAACCAGCTTTAATGAATTTGGTTTTAATTAGTTCAACTTCAGTTTTCCAATTGGTTGTGATGCGTTTGGCTCTATGTAACGCGTTGATGATAGTATTACGCTTCCATTTTATTTGCGACGACCAGTGTACATACCTGGTTTTTGTTAGACTGATCTCTCAAAGCCATTACTATTAATAGGCTGTGTCAAGGAAGTGGTTKGGATTCTCTTCAACGGTGAACACGATGTTGTCATGGTAACTGTTTAAGAATTTAAGGAGGTGGTCGGGCTGGTTCTTTTTACGAGTTGAGAAACAGTCGTCGACATATCTCTTGTAGACTTTAGGAGTATGTAGTGGGATGATGTCATTTTCCAGTTTGCACATGAAGATATTGGCCAATACAGGTGAAAGGGGATTCCCCGTACCACAGTCGTCTGTTTGTTTATATAGATGGCCATTGAAGCAGAACACTGTTCCTTTGGTGACTCGGTTTAGAAGACGTTTGGAGATGAGTTTGCTGGCGATTGGTTTTAGCTTGTTTTTGAGTATAGACCTGGTCTATGATGTAATCGATGATCTCGTCGTGGGGAATTTCCATGAACAGAGGTGACGTCATACGATACCACAATTTCAYCTTCATCTAGTGTATGATTTTCTAACGTATCAGCGAAGTCTAAGGTGTTCTTGATTGAGTGTTCATTTTCTGTCAGTGGCATTAGGTACTTGGCGAGGTATTTGGCTGTTTGGTAGTAGTATGTTATGTACTGTATGTCAATTTTGTTAGTTTAGTCCTGAAGATGAACTGTTAAGTTGGRAAACGTTTGACAACCATATTTAGAACTTTAAAACTTTTAGCCTTCATATAATTTTCATTCTAATCCTAAGGTGATAATCAAGCATGATTAGTGTTTGGATGATTTTGCTGTATGATTTGTCATTGTATTTTAAGGGATGAAGATGATGATATCAAATCAAGAGTACGTTCAAAACTCATCAGAGAACCTGACGACTTCCTCGGTCAAACTATCATTGAAGTACGGACCCTTAGTGGTGAAATGGATGTCTGGTATAATCTGGGTAATTTTATTAGTATACATTGTATAACGTAGATAATATGGAATGTGATGTCATGGCTTAACCTAGGCAATATAAAATAGTCAGAACCTACACGCAAAATCTGGCTCTAGCGATAAATCTATGCCAAAAGCATAAAAGACGCACTTAGATCTATCCTGCGTAGCGGCCCAAAGGGGACTGGGTCAGTCCTCCCCATTCTCCCTGGGGCCGAGGCTAACATTCATTTGAAGGTAGTCCAGTTTCAGACCCTTTTTAGCCCGTTCCGTTGAACAGTAGGCTCAGTCTCCAGCCGTCGGGATTTCGTGCGCCCGCGATACTCTCTCCCCTGACGGCTGGGCGCATGAGGTTCGCTATTGTCAGTCTTGACCAATCAGCGAGTGGCCCCCGATATTTTCAGGGGCATATCATTAATAAATTAGCAGGCAGCAGTGTAACAAAATGGCGTACAATTCGTCGTTTGAGATTCTCTTTGAAAGTGCTTGTTTGAAGGCTCTGAAGTCGTTTAGCTTGGACGAATTTAGAGAAATACAGCAAAAGGCTCTTAAAGAGATTGTTCTTGGAAAAGATGTCCTTGTTATTCTTCCTATACTGGCTCGGGCAAATCTCTTATTTTTCAAACAGCGCCACTAGTGTATTTTGCTCGTTTTTCTGGCAGATAATACATCCATTTGGATTATTAAACCCTGCACATGTTTTACTTGGGGTAAATTTCCATTCCTTTCTCTTTTTTAAAGCGCTAACTATTACATTATATCGGTACTTCTCGCGAAGTTTTCATTTCACATAATTTCCCGCCTTGTAGCAAAACTTTTACGGCTGTTGTCAGATATTTCACTTCCGTTCACTGAAAAATTCACTTCCGTTACGTCATAATATGCTAATTACACAAAAACGTCACGGACATGCGCGACACGTTTCGAACCCCATGCGCCCAGCCGTCAGGGGAGAGAGTATCGCGGGCGCACGAAATCCCGACGGCTKGAGACTGAGCCTAGTTGAACAGTTGATCGYGGGAAAAAAGTGTCCAGAAGAACTTGCATGCGCATGCGTTGGATTACACCACATACATGGATTGTGACCAGGTCGTTAAGCTATGCACGTAGTGTTGTGGTGTTTRTCATATTCATATCTAATGAAGGATGCAGCATCAAAGTATATATTTGTTTCATATATTTACATGTAAAACAGCGCAACAACGAACTTGGACACTGGATCGAACAAGTCAATTCCAAATTTCAGATATTTGAGTTGTGCATATCATCGTAAACATTAAGAAGTTTAGTTGACTGAACGCTCTTAATCCTTCAAACAAACACAGTTATCGTCACAAGAAGGAATTAGCACACAATTGTTTTTTTAAGTTAATATGATACGGTTCACGCACATGCAAGTTCTTCTAGGCATTTGTACCCGCGACCAACAGTTTAACGTAGCGGACTTAAAAAAGGTCTGGGACTGGGCTTATTCAAAGAGTATTAGATGCATTAACAACTTGCTGTGCAGGAAGATAGAATAATGTAATGTATTTTGAAATAAGATGAAAGAAGATCAATCATAAATGAAGCAAAGACAAAACTTGACAATATAATAAGATCTTAAATAAAAATGAAATTAGAAATGGAAATTAAAATAAAAGTTGGCAAGAAAAAGATAAAACAAATAAATACTAGATATACAAAAAGTGATAGAGAATAACAGCTGTGGCATGCCACCGTTAGGAGTGATGTGCTAGGTATGTAGTCATTGTGCTCTGTTCAATAATCATAATTTCTATTAATATTATTGGTTGAACAGAAAAGAGAACTGACCGATCAGCGGTATCTGGTGCWATCCGATTAAAGATCACTATTGAAATAGAAGGAGAAGAGAAAGTCGTACCCTATCATACACAGTATACTTGTTTACATGAGGTAAGAATGATCCTTCTGTAGATTTGCTCATCTTGTATTGGATACTTTAATGGCAAATTGTTAATATCCCTTCTTTTGCAGAACATCTTTCATTATCTTTGCCAAAGGCACGAAGGGCAATTCCCTGTTCCAAGCACGGCTGGGGTGAGTAGCTCTTAYGCTGATAGATTGCCWAGTCTGAAYACTAATAAACGCTATGACTATTTTCAGCGAGAAGAATCATGGAAGGTTTTTTTTCTAGACACGGCTTTGGAAGTAGTCAACGAGTTTGCTATGAGATATGGTATAGAAAGCATCTATCAGGCAATGACGTAAGTAATGTTTCGTTTCACATGATAAATGTATAAAAGGAATAAAATTTTTCTCGCTTTCTCCCCCCCCCCCCATCTCGCTTTCCGACTCTAGTAAATATGTTATGTTCCAATTTTGCTTAAATCTTAATTTTTTCATATTTTTAGACATTTTTCGTGCCTGACTTCATGTTATATGCATCCAAACATACCAGCTTTAATAAGTAGTCTTCTGGCAAACATTAATGCATTTTTTTCGCACACCACTGCAAACTCTGCTACCTCTGCCACTCATCGATTTGCAGCCACGAACTTTGGGGTAAGCACGAATAWGCCGTTTAATTGTATRAATATTGGACGCGAGTCAATTGAGTGATTTGACTTGTTGATCTCGATTTTTTTCCAGTATGGATTCTTTTGGGTAGACCGCGCGCGCTACATTACTCGCAATTTTTTGAATTTTTGMRAATGTTACATAACTTTAAACTTTAAAAAAGAGCAAAAGGATAAATCAATATGATACTATTACTTGGGGCAGAAATCAG